GAGTTTGCATATTTGGTTGTCCTATCTTTGCACATCATATCATTATAAGACTTGAGACAGTGGAGAGACCAGGATGATGTTGGATCCAGGAGGAATGCCAGGTCCTTTGAATCTAACCAAGATCCAGAACTTACATAGCTCTCGGTCTAGTTTCTTAGATTGCTCTACTCAGAATCTTAACTTTCTTGTAATTTATTATAATCTAATAAAGGATTAGCATTTAAATGAACAGCATTTAAATCTCTTAATAGAGTGGAAGTATATTTTTTATAAGAATACTATTTTCTCATAAAAGAAGCAGAAAAAAATTAACTATAATAAACATTATGCCTGGGGAGGAAGGGAGAAGGGACATTTTCTTACACCATCAGTGGGAATGTAAATTGGTATAGCTGATGACGACCTATTAAAAATTTGAACTATACGTGCCCTTTGATTCAGCAGATACCCTTGCACAAAATTTTTAAAGGTATATTCATTTATTCATCCTGCAAAGTCCTGGGAAAATGCTACTAAATGTAACAGACATGACACCCCCCAGAGAGAGCTCACAGTCCACTGGAGACAGGCACTATCAATAATCCAACTAAGAAATAACAATGTACACATGGAACGAAGCCCTGTACAGGCAGCGAACTGGGATGACGGATGAAATAATGGAGATGAGAGTGCGCAGGTTAAGGAGTGGGAAGACTTCTCTGAGAAGGTCCCATTAGCTTCCACCTGATGAATGAGAAGAAGCCAGCCAGGCAGGAGAGAAACTGCGTTAAGACCTGAAGCAGGACAAGAGCTGAGGGTTTCTGAAGAACAAAAGAAGGTGCACGTGAGAGGGAGGGAGTGTGTGATGTGGCTGCAGAGGAGCGCAGGAAACGGATCGGGCAGTTCTCTGTGAGCCAGGACAGGTGGTTCTGAATCTGTTCCAAGTACACTGGACACCACGATCCTTTTAAAAGCAGCAGTCAGGTTGCTGAGTGAGAAGCGGATTGGGTGAGAGGCCAGCAAGGAATGGGAGCTCAGCTGTAGGCCCACTGCCTAGGCTACCTGAGGGATGCCAGAAACTTAGCTGGTGGGGAAGCCCAGAGAAGGAGGGAACTAGATGGACCTAAAAACATTTTGTACGTAGATCCCACCTTGTCAATTTTATCTCCAACCAACCACAAGAACCAAAGAAAAGCCTTTCCTAAAGAAACATGTTGTGGAAGTGAACATGAGGTTCATTTGGAAAATTTCCTCCTTCACGCTTTTCATTACCTTACAAAAATATTCCCACAAATAAGCAATTACCTAATCAGACTAGACAAAGTCAAAAGATGTTGACCCTGCTCCATGGCATAAGTGAAAAAAAATTAATGCATATTCACCCATATTTACCCTTCGGAAGTTTGAGCTTGAATCAATATATGATAAAAATTACACAAATCTTTTGAAAGAAATAATTTCAGGAATCACAAAAGCACGGTAAACCATGCTGCATACCATCTAATAGAAAGTTGGATCAACAGCTCCATTTTCACTAATTTTTAAAGTGCAGACTGTTCTCTGCAGGTGCACAATTATTACATTCTCTGACACCTCTGGATGCCATCAGGCGGTAAGCCTAATGGAAGGTATGATTTTCATTACCTTGAATAACAAAAAGTGATGGGTCACTACTCTGGCAGGACATTTCAGGGTGTGTGTATAATTTTGTTAGTGCACAATTCGTGGAACTCTTAGCTTAATTCGTGAATTTTTGGATATTCAAGAGCAATTAAATATCAGAAAGTCATGATGTCTGACATATAAGAGATATGATATACATGTTTCCAGTTAAAACAAACAAAAACCAGTGAAGGCAAAATCTTAGGAACATTTTCTACATGATGAATAACAGAACTGGTGCAGATAATAAGCATTAGACACAAAATGGAAACTTCTGGAGCCACTGCCCACTTAAATAAATATTCATTCTAATTACTTCACGTCTTATGCCATGGCTCAATGTCCAGCAAATTGAAGAATGCCTTCTTTTTAAACCTATGATGTATCTACTGTCCAACTCTTGTATTTTCAATACAGTGCATCAAACAAAGCACAGTATATGCATACAATGAAGCTCCTTTTTAATTATGCTTATTATTGTCATGATCCTCATTTTTATTTCAGTCCCTTGAATAAAAGCCAGTTTCACATTGGGCTTATGTTTCCAAAGACATTATCAGAGAGTAATAACATAACCACTCAACAGAAACCACTAGAAAATCCTCCCTTCTTTCCTTTCCATAAACATAATGAAATAGCAAGTGCTTAGTCCAGAAGGCATTATGCAAATGCACACCCCAGCAGCAGTAATCTCCAGACCACCTTCCTCTCACCATGTCAAAATGGCCACCACACAAGGGCACTTTAACACCTTACTAGTTTCCAGTCCTGCAAAGAAAAGGTAGTGTTGGCTTAAAGCACAGTCAAGGGCACTTAGAAGATGAGAGAGCCCTGTCTGTCTACTGAGTGCATAGTGGGATCTGTCCTTGCTTTTGACAATCCTCCTGGACTGAGACAAGTAGATGAAGCCAGCCTGCTTCAGGCCAAGTCTGATTCCTCTCCTGCAAGGGTGCCCGTACCTTGCACATACCACCCAACCGAGACTCCTTACACGGTATTTCAAAATACAAAAGTGAAGTACCTGTTAAATCCTTAACCTGTGTTTAGGTGAGGAGAGAGTAGAATGCTAATTAACATTTTTAAACCTAAATAATTAAAACTGTCAGGGAACTGGAGTTTTAGGAAAAGCAAATCAGAAAAAAAATGAGTTACATCTAGAATTTAGCCCACAATGCAACTTATGAGTATTCCTAGGAAAATCATAATTCATTGCTATCATTTTTTAAAAATCTTCTGTTTCAGCATAATAGTGCTTTGAAGAAATTACAAGATATTAAATTATGGGAAAGGGAAGAATTGAAAGTTCATTATATTTTTCTCTTCGTCCCTGACCCAAAGTTTAGAATGTTATTCGTAAGGGTTTCTGCACTCACATTATTTTTAAAAGAACTTTTGTTTTAAATTATAAACTAATACATTCTCATTACCAAAAAAAAAATCAGAAAATATATACAGGCATGATGAAGAAAATAAAATACATTTATAATCACTTCATTCAAAAAATAAGTTCTAGTATATTATGGTGGTCTATTCTAGCCTCTGTCCATGCATTTGTATTTTCTTTCATTATACTATCAAAAAAAGCCGCAGTATACATACATATAAACACAAAACTTCCATCACTGTTAAACAAATTCAGAAACTAATCAATATTTTGATCACTGAATTCTTCATTATACAATCACTATTAAATTCAATAATGCTCATCCCAGCTTCTATCCCCTTATATTTGTTAACTAGTCCAGTCACCAAGAAATCACTTCTTAATCACTTCCTAAAATAATTCCATAATTTCTCCAGTGCTTCAGTTCCATGTTGGAAAGGATTCAGTAGTTGTTTGCTTTATGATTCTAATCAAAAAGTGCATAAAATATGCATTATGAAATTTAGAGGGAATTCTACCAAGAATGTCAAACCTGATCTTCAGAAATTTCCTTTCCAAGCGGAGGTAGACTAAAACAATACACTAATTATTTCTCTGTTGGAGTCAATACCCATTGTATTTGTCACAAATACTATTTAAGGTATATGGTATCATCCAGGGGTCATCATTTTCTGAAAGTAAATAAAGTAAATGATTTCTGTTAAGTTAGTAAGAATTTTTAGCCTTGTAGCTACACACTCTCTGTCCAAATTCTCAACTATGCCATTTCACCACAAATGCAGCCATTCACAACACATAAGCAATTGGCTTGACTGTGTTCCAATAAAACTTTATTTAAAAAACCTTATTACAAAAACAAGATTTTTCTGGATATGGGTGGTAGTAATTGTTGCACAACAATGTGAATATACTGCATGTCACTCAGTTCTACACTTAAAAATAGTTAAAATGGTAAATTTTGTTTTGTATATTTTGCCACAATTTTTTAAAAATTCAAAAAACAAAGATTTTACCTACAATGTGTTTTTTCCCCCCAGCTCCTAGACTATGAAATACTTTCTGTCTAAAATACTCTGATTAAATGGTTTCTCTGAAATGAAAAAGCTTCCAAAACCTGATACATAAATACAAAGATAAAATTGCTCTTCTACCAAACCTTTTAAAAAATATTCTGGAAAGTTTAAGAGTGCTCTTAACTCTAAGATTACAAGCAAACCAAAATGGTGTTAGCAGATTTTCCCCTACCCTCTAGGTTGAACTGGAGTCCCGATGTTTAGAAGTGCACAGGTAAACAGCGGCTAGCAGGTCGTCTGCTCTGGGGGAAATGTCTTTAAGTAAATAAAAGTGCACAAAGATACCCTACTTCACTATATTTAAAAAAAAAACTAAATGAAAAAATACAGTAGGAAAGATGTCATCTGAGTATTATCAGAGATCCGATCTTGCAACGCACTGTTTGTATATTACTGATATCCAAGGCACCACGTAACTGTTTAGTCCAATTTTATTTCTAATTGTTTGCATTCAAAAATCTGCATTAATGGTTGCTTGGTGCACTGGTTTTCTTCTTTGGATTTGTAGCTACTTTTAATAAAATATACTATGGCTTAACACCTAAAGTATATCTTGCTCAACTTTAGCTCTACCCACACACACTCTGGCTAAAAATAAATGCTTTCCACAGCTAGATTTGGGGGAATTTTGTAAGTTTTGTTTTACTTTCCAGTTTTAATTGTCACCATGAGAAGCAGCCAGCTAGATTCTTTTTCAGTGTAGTCAAGGCTAGCTTTTGCACTTCCACACCATGATTAATTTATTATTTATCTGGTACCTTCCTATTAAAACAGGTCTTTAGCCTGTGAACTTTTCTTTCAGCTTCCAACAAAGGATTTCATTGCTTTAGGAATTGAGGTGTGTCTAAGTTTTTACCTGGGAGCAAAAGTGATGCAAGCGTTTCTGGTGAGACCAATCCTTGGTTTAGGGTGGGGAGGAGCTGCATAACAGGCCATCTGCAGACTCCTGAAGACAGCAGAGACGCTGAGAAAGGGCTTTCCTCACACATCGCATGCAGGCTATTGGAAGGACTAAAGCAGCAGCTCCCTTGGATCCGTTCACCAGGGACAGCAGCAACAATGACTTGGCTCCTTTTCAGAACCACAGGGGCTCTGGCCATTTTGATGGTAAGTCCTTTTTTTTTTGTAATAATTGCAAACTTTCCCTGTTTCTTTCCTTGTAAGAGAATGTTATATTTGACTGCTGAATCTCTATTTTAAATCTGAAAAAAAGTGCGGTGGAAAGAAACATTTTTATTGAAATTGTGAAGATTACCAATTTCCCTCTTTCGTTGGTTTTTTTAAGGTTGTAATTTACATAGAAAAACAAGCCAGAGAGAAATTAATTTGAAAGTCACCAGTTAGCGTTTCTTTAATGAACGAGTTAAATAATCCTGATCTCAAGTCTGTTTTCCACAGCAACTTTGCTTTCTTCAAAGTAATGCTGTTAATCATCTTTTTATTCATACTTTAATTCTAATACACACACTAAAACACATGAAAGAGAAGAAGGTCTATTTTCCAAGCTTATATATCTCTTAAGCATATGGCTAAGAATCGTACATACATGCCTGGTCTTGATACCTGACATGTTTTCCAGTAGTCAAAGACTGCTGAGTTAAAAATCAAAGCAATGTTTGACTCTAGAGAAGGTGGGAGGATTATTTAAAAAGTGTTTGTGCTTAGCCATTACATGCAAAGACATCCAACCTTTAGGGGCAAAAAGACACAATATTTTACAAGCCACTTGTTCAAGAGAGTAATACTTTTGCTGATTGGGCAAGTTTTATATAATATTATTGAAAAGAGAAGAGCAATCTGGAGAGAAGAGCACTGACCTGGATGCCACAGACTAGTTTGCTTGTTAACTGTGTTGTTTTAGTGAAGAAAAAAAATTTGTCAGAATATTATCAGTTGCACAAAGATATCAAAATAGTGAAATATATCATAATGAATATGAAAAAGTTCCTAATACTAATTCTTCACTTTATCAACAGTAAGTTGAGTTGGCCTACAAATCAGTTTCCTTCATTTCCTCATCTAAAAGAATTGAGATAACTGAACTTCAAGAAGTTACAGGGAGACAGATGTCAAGAAAGAAGTTTCTAAAAATTAAATATGTTTAAAAATAGAATAGACTGCCTGTGAGCCAGGGTTTCACCCTTCCGTCTCACGCCCATGGTCAAGCAGAAAATTGGTATCATGTCTTCTGTTAGAGTCTGTTTCGATTATGACAGTGTAACTAACTGTTTTGGTAATCTAATGAATTCAATTGACCCAAAGACAAATGTGGCAGTGGTGCGACCTCTCCACCTTTCCAGATGGTCATTTCTGAACTAAATGAACAGCAGGTGTAGTCCATTGGTCCAAGCCAATGACCAACTTGGGAAGCTAGGGGATACGCGGCAGGGGATGTCAGAACAGTGTTGTTCTGTAGTTGGACTGCACAAGCAAGCTAGAGAGCTTTCTTCCCTGCTTTGACATTTATCACACTCAGTTACCCCTCTGGTTCTGGAGTGACTGTGAGATCTTTACACCGAGGGCTGTTTTATTTGTCTTTGTATTCCCACTGCCTACCATAGTATCTATCTTACAGTGGGCACACAATTGCTTGAAGAACGGATAAATGAATGATTGAACGAGGCCTCTCTAAACTGTAACACACACACACACACACACACACACACACCCCGCCCCACAATGGTGTCTCTATAATGCTAATCATGGAGGAAGCTATGAGAGGTTAGAACACTTTGCTCCCCTCAGGAAAATTTTACAGACACACATACACAAACAAACAATCTATTTAAACACAAGCATAACTTCATACATTACTGTTACACTGAGAAGTCTAGACCGGCTCTGTCCAATATGGTAGCCACCTAGCGACATGTGGCTATTAACCACTTGAAACGGATCGGTATTGAGATGTGCTGTTAAGTGTAAGACACACACACCAACCATATTTTGAAGACTCCGTATGAAAAAAAAAAAGTAAAATATGTCATTAACCCTTTTTATGCTGATTACAAAGTGGAATGACAGTATTCTGGATACATTAGTTAAAAATTATTGATAAAATTAACTTCACTTTTTAACCTTTTTTAATACGAATATTAGAAAATTAAAAATTATATACCCAGCTCAGGTTTGTGGTTACTGTATTTCTACAGAACAGTACTGGTCTACTCTTAACGCTATGAGTAGAAGGCAGGGTCAGTCAACAGTGAGACAGGCAAATAAGGCTCCATGGACGAGGTGAGATCTGAGCTGCTTTTTGACAAGTACAGATGGGCCACACAGAGATGTCTTCAGTTGTCAGACCAGCACCAGCAAAGGCAGGTACACCTGCCTAGGGGCAATGGACACACTGGTTTGACCAGAATGATAGTTTGCACTGGAGAATCTGGATATGAGTTAGAAAGGCAGATGAATGAGGGTTGGATTGAAAAGCACATTCTGTGAAGGGTAATGAAATCCTTTCAGAAGTGGGGATCCACCCAGATTTTTCGAAATGGTGTGGTGATGGGGAAAAAAAAAAGGTTTTAAAAGCACTGTGGAGTGGGAATGCACATCTTTTGTTGCTAAAGGGTGGGGTCTGAAAGTTGGAAGACCTGTTTGGAGGTTTTGAATTAATTCCACCATCCTATGACCACTTTATGACCAAGGTATAAAAGCTAAGTCACAGACTTCAGTTTATGCCTGTACCACTGACTCACTCCAGGCATTGTTTCCCCGACTGTCAAATAAGAAGAATTAATCATATCCTCCCGCCTAGTGAGAATGACCGGAGTAAGAACAAAGTAGCAATGTGTGCGAAAATGTGCTCAGGAAAATATAAAGAGCTTTGTAAGAGTCTAGTTTCTATTATTTGTAATATTTTAGTAATAAAGATGATTAATTAATATTTTGCCTTCCTATTTTAAATAACCACCGACATCAGTTATAATAAGCTAAGAAAGGACCTACATTTTTCTTGAGTGTGAAAGAGCATATCAAAAACAGTTATGAGATAAATTGTTTGAAAACTGACAGAAAAAAATTAAAACTTTATTTTAAATGATTATGATAGTGGGTTCAGGGAAATAACGTATTTTCAAAGTTGGCGCATTACTCAAAATTTCAACTGTTCAGTCTTCTAGATTAATTATTTGAGAGGGGAAGGCATGGGAAACACCTGACTATTGTTGGAAAATGTAACGTTTGTCAGTTTCCCATGTTTGTTGGATCCTTTCACACAATACCAAGTAAACATTTTGGGGAAAGGATTCGTGATTGAAAAATACTTATCTCAGAGATTTAACCTTTTGAAAACAGTATTTGTCTTCAAAGGAGACCACTGCTCAGCGTTTTATGGTCCACAAAATCTGAAACACAGTCTGTCATAAAGCACTCCTGTAACATCTGGACAATAGCTATTGAATTTCATGTTACTACATTATGGGAAGAATTAGTCATTACGAAACTAATACAGATGTTTGAAATCCAAAGGTTTTTAAAGCACAATGTTTTAAAGAAGTTAGGAAAAGAGAGAAAAGTAGTTTAAATATCAAGTTCTGAGTTAGAATGTGTTCTAAATAAAGCAGAACACTCTTTAACCAATCTCCCTGTACAGACCATCCAGAAGGTAAATGTTTAAGAAAGGAATTGTACACTAAGTGGCCCAAATTTTTAATGGAAGGAAAATCTCTGATGTATCTTTCCTTCTCTTGATTGATGAAACAATCCAGTTTTCAGTGCTAATAAATATATGAAGATTAATTTCCCCCTGAACTTCTCCAAAAGTTAAGATTCTAAAATCAGAATAACCTTGCCAAGCAATTCCAGCCAGCCCTGTCTGACTTGGACAAAACTTAAGAAAGATGTAATTACTTCTACCAACTACCGCTCCCACTTGCTTAATACCTAAAACTGGTTTTCATTTAGAGCAAGAACCCTCAGCGCCCATAAGATTTCCCGTAAACCTCTTAGCCTTTGGCTCTTCCTTTCCCCAGTGAGGAGTCAATCTGATAGCCTACGGTGAGGGCTTGCTTTGGGAAGTTCATGACAAAAAAATTACACAGGCAATTGGTTACCATCCATAATTACAGTGTGAATAACTGAATTTTTTGTAATAGGCACATTTTTCTTGTCACTGTACAGTTGGCCAGGCTGTACACTGCACAATGCCAGGAAGTGCATTCACATAAACCACAAATGTGAACAGTGCCCCCTGAAGTTGTATAGGAAGCAACCTACACAACTGTACAGTGGAGCACTGGTTCTTGTCTCTTTCAGATGCTCAAGAAAGAGAAAGTTCTTATGTGCCTTGAAGTGAATAATAACAAAAAGCCACTTCATATCAAAGTGGCTTTTTTACACCTTTTTTTAAAAGTCTGAATGTCAGAAGTAATTACCACTTACTGAGCAGTTACTGTAGGGAAGGGCTCATCTGTGTGCCTTAGACTTATTAATTCATTTAACCCTCACAAAAAAACCTATAAAGTAAGTAGAATTATCATCCCCATTTTACAGATGAGGAAGCTGAAAAATTAAGTAATGTTCCCAAGTTACTCAATTGGCACATGGTAAGACTGGGATGTAAATTCAGGGATTCAGGATCTAGTGTCCAATTTTGTATCACTATACTTGACTGCATCCTAGACAGCATTTAAAATGAGCACTTGAAAATATCCATGGGTATTTGTTTTTCTTAGCATCTCCATCATGATACAAGGCTTAACTTTCTAAATTGAGTTTATTCTAAAAGTCAGTTATTAGAAATTGAACTGTCTTAAATTAAATAATGTTAGGTAATTAAACAGATCATTTTTATTCAATCAAGGAAACTGCCTTGATAAATACAAAGCTTATTAAAATACTTTCAGGTTTTTTATTTTTAATTTTAAAAAGTCTATATATATATAGAAAGCTATGAGACATCATAAAAGATAAATCACTCATTTGTTTTAAATTGTATGTATGAAATTTAGTCAAACATGTATTGAATGACCTCTATGATTTGAAAAATTAATAATCATATATCTAACTAATTATAAAAATAATATCACCCACCTATAGATCATGAAATTTTCCGAAAATAATTAATAATTAAAATATTAATACATAAAAAACAAGCTTAAAATTTGTAATGATTTCTTTGAATAACCTAATTCATTCTACAAATTTCCCAGAGGAAAGTGGGTGTCATCCACTCTGACCACATTCTAAGAAGAGTGGCCACAGCCTAGGCTAGCTGGGACTAGCTCCACACAGATCTCATGCGCAGCCTAACAGTCTGAGTGTCCCTCCCACACTAAGGTTCCAGGTTACTCTAAACAAAACCTCAGCCAAACTCAGTAAAAAGCAATTGTGATTACATATGATTTTTTTATCATATGTAGTCACCCATATCCTCAAAATGTATTTATTGTGGATCCACCACATTCAGTAGGAACCTTAATGATATAACAATATACATTTTAATGAGCACATAGGTACTATGAATATCAAATTACTTCATTGTATGCTTTTTACTAATTTAATAATCCCACTTGCTTTTAATAAAATATTTCTAATTCTTACATGTACCAAGTTATTTAGGCCATATCAATGCTTTAAAGATCATGCAGTCAAAATTACAAAATAACCAGGAAACAAAGAAAGGAAGAAAAGTGTAGAAATTCTCAAGATAAGGAGTGTTTTCTCCATATTGCTATTTCTGAGAATCTAGATTACAAAAAAAGACAACTTAGTTGATTTCTATTTTTGCCAGGCAGAAAACTACTGAAATGTTTATTAGGTATTCAAAATAACTATATGAACAAAATAACCAAGACAACTAAGTAGCCACATATAAGTATTAATTAACTAAAATAGTAAAGTTTTAAAACAAACACTCTTCAAAATAATGTAAGGCTATGATTATATTTCCAAGTACATGTGTAAAAAGTATTGCAATATTCAGAAGTATTTCTTATTAACTGCCCCATATTCCCAGAAACAGAAGAATAGTCACGTTTTCACAATACTCCCTAAAATTGGGAACATTCTTGGTGTTTTGACTTTAAAAGAGAGGATGGGGGAGAGTGAAAGTTTGACTGAATAGCTGCTCCAAGGGCTCTGATTCAAGGAAATGAACAAATAGGGAACAACTGTCTGCGATGCTCATTCTCCATAATTTAGGGTTTGTCCGTCCTTTGCTTCCCAGGAAAACAGAAATTGTGTCTTAACGTCTATTAGAAGAATCATTCTCTGTGGGGCTAGTACAAACATGATTCATATTTTCTGGATGACTCCTTCCAGGCTTCCTGTAAAGAGGAGCCTGCCTGGCCCACCCCTCCCCTCACGTGTGGCTGAGTCGTTGGGATCAACTGAGAAAGGAGTAATATAATTACTACATTGCTCTGCTCTCCTCTCCCAAGTAACTCATGCTGTTGTGTAATAAAGACCAGCAAAGCTGTAAAATCCTTTTGAGTAATGATTCTTTTTCACGACAATTTTTTTTTAAAAAAACACCCTTTGAAATAAAATTTCAACCAAATATTTAGAATGGAAGGGTCCTGGCATCCTATGTCTGATCTGGTTATTCCTTTGGTTCATACTAGAACTGGCCTCTTCATTACAACTTTCCAAAATAAACAATAACAAATGTATTAAATCTATATTGTTTCACGAGTAACCTCAGCCTTTGCCAGGCAGAAATCTAAACAAACTATCATAGAACTGTCTTGTTACCACTAATTTTTTTCAATTTATTTATGCTGATTTTGGTTAGAATCTAGTGTAGTGGTGATGTGCACACTTTGGAGTCAGGCTGCAGAGGTTCAACCCTGGCTCTCCTAAGGCTGTTAGCTGGGGCAAAGTACTCAGTCACTCCTGTCTCCATGTCTTCACCCACGAAACAGGGGTCACAGTAATAGAATCTCCTTCAGACCACTGCTATATTAAATGAGATAGTAAATATAAAGCTTTATAAATAGCAACTAACACAAGAACCATAATTTCTTTTCTTCTGATTTATTTTCACAGTCTTTTCCCTACCAGATTCTCTTCAGATCAGATAATCAGTCAGTCAGAAAATAGTTGTCAGACACATGCCAAGGGACAGGTATTGTAAGGACTGCAAGGGAAAAAAAAATAATATAGAAGCAATGATTTGGAAAGTTTGCAATTTTCTTGGCTTATCACCATCATGCACACCAAACAGTAAGAAATAATAAATCAGGGGAAACCACTATGGGCTAAATTGCATGGTCCAGAATCTGTGTTGTACAAACTCAGAAAAGGAGACATCAGTAAGGACCCTGTTGGAACTTGAAATGATCTTAAAGGATGAGCAGTATTTACGTGTGTGAAGGAAAAGAAGAATGCATTCCAGTTAGAAAACAAGATGGAAAATGACACAGATGGAGGTCCTACGTGCTCTTGAGAAAGTAAAGATCCTAGCCCGCCTAATAAGACTTCATTTTCTTTTCATTTAAGTTTTTAAGCTCAATATTTAAATTGAAGTAGTGGGGCAGAGATGAGCAGATCTGTGTCCCACAGCAAACAGTACTTGTGCTTAGAACAGCATATCCCCACCTTTGACGTTCCAGTCTCTAAACTAGGCTACCTCCATTCTGTTCTCTTGCCTCCTGTACGACTAAGAAAGTGATTCCCCTGTGACTGCGGCTAATACAGCCTTGCCTTTGTACCTGTCAGTTGGGTAGGTCACGGTTTTTAATAATCTCCTATGGCACTTTCTGAAGCTTACCACAATGACGCGCACCATTGCCTCCCGAAGCAACAGTTTCCATAGCTCCCGGGAAATGTTTATACACAAGCCAGGTAAGAAATGTCTGGTTGCTGCAACGAACTGTTAGAGTTTTGAACAGTCCAACAGACTCTTCCGTATATCATTAAAATTCGGTAGTTAGATTAAAAAACTGGAGGAACTTGTTTATATTGAGAGTATCATCTTTTCTCTGAGAGGATTTTACCCTTTGAATCCTGTTTCTCCAAATCTACTTCTTATGAAATGGAAACAAACTTCAATGAACAGCACAATGTAAAAAATCAGGATTAGCATCTCATGTAATTCCTTATTTAAAGAATTCACATTTAATCTGACTTTATTTAAATGTCTACAGGTGGTCCTATTGGTTCATGGAGAATTGAGAATAGAGGTAAAGTATAAAAATGTCTTTGTAATTAAAATAATTGTTTAGCTAAAAAATTTTGTTTATCTAATATTTTAAGTTATTTAATAACTTAATTGTAAAAAAATTAAAATTCTAACAACTAACACAATAATATATAAATAACAGCAATGTATATGTCACTCTTGTAATTTATCTCACACAGTCTTTTTTCTTATCTTAAATAAATAAATAGGTTTTCATTAAACTGGTCCTATGTGCCCCAAACAGTCAGATATTGTGGAATATATACAGGAAATATAAAATACGATTAAATGCTAATATTAAAAATCATATAGCTTTATAATTGTTTGTCATTTAATGTTCCTTCTTTGCTTGGGAATGTGAGATAGAGCAAATTAGACAGTTAATGGTCTTAGATATCTTGAAACAAAGAGGGTTTCTCAACCCAGGTGTCTATAAACAATATTCAAAGCAAAAATTTCCAACCATGTGCCTAATAAAACGGAATCCCTCTTCACTAGACAAAAGGACAACACGGAGAATATGAGACAGCAGTACAACAAGCCAAAAGGAGATATAAACGTGAATGGGTGAAGTTTGCAAAACCCTGCAGAGAAGGAGAAGACAACTCCAAAAGAAATCCAATTGCCAAAGTAAGTCTTATGAGCAGGGGCAATGTGAGTTTTTAGAATAAATATATTATATGTGAATTAAAACAAGGGAGAGGAGGGTATAGCTCAGTGGTAGAGGTAGAGCACTATGCTTAGCACACACAAGGTCCTGGGTTCAACCCCCAGTACCGCCATTAAAAAATAAATAAACCTAATTACCTCCCCTCTACACCCCAAATAATAATAAAAAGTAAATTTAAAAACTTTTAATTAAAATAATATGGCAATCCCAATTAGCAAAATGCAGACTGGTAAGTCCACAGAACAAATAACCTGGTATTGTCAACAAAAAAATGCAATAATAATAATTTAAAAGAAAGAAAGAAAGAGGAAAGAACCATAGCTTCTAAAGTAATAAAAATAATTAAGAGACATAACCAATTTCAATGGACAAGTCTTTTTGGATCCAGATTCTAGCAAATAAATAGGAAAATATACATGGACAAGTGTTTTGTTTAGGGCAGCAAATTATGCTCAGAGAATGAGGCTGTCTTCACCGGTAATTTATTTAACACAGGCTCATTGCAGGAATTATAATAATTTCACAAGTCAATAGCATATAGGATAATGTCTCTTACTAAACCAGTAAAAAAATACCATACTCCTAATCAAAAGTAGATTAATCACACCATTGTCCTAGGCAAGGAAGAGGGTAGAGAACTAAAGCGCAAATTTAATTGAGATGTACCTTTCTACAAGTTGGTTCTTGGGAGTCAGCTTAGACAACCACAAGCTGATACTCAGCTTCCAGTGCAAAAGCAAAAGTCCCTCATCGCTAGAGCATGTTACTAGGGAACGAAGGCGGTGCTGCTGGCAGGGGAGCTGATCTCCTTTGCAGGGCAGCTGCACAGTTTTCACACTGGCAGGCAACGAGCTGCCTTGCCTAGGCAGGAGCTAATGCCCCAAGGTCTTCAGAGAGCTGTTTAGATCAGCAAACAGTTGCCTTGCCCAGACCGAACACTCTCAAGAAGTCTTCACAACCTCCTGGTATTTAAAGCCTGTCTGTCCCCAGCCATAGTGGCTCCTCAACACGTTCTTCTCTATAAGCCGGAACGTCGCTCCCAGTAGCTGAGCTGGAGTGTTTACTGACAGCCGCTGATGTCCACCACGACATCCTGACGCAGCTTCCTCACTGTAAACAACTTCACTCTAAGAACAAAACAACTTCATTCTAAGATCAAAAATTTTTTAAAAAGTGTATCTTGAAATCATATCAAACCAAATACACAGCAATAAGACAGTTAGAAAAATGGTTGACAGTCAACACTGGGTTGACCATGTATTCAAAACTGCTGAAGCTGGGTGATGAGATATATGAGGTTCATTATATTATCCTAACTTTATATTTGAAATTTTCCCTGTTAAAAAGATTAAAAATTAATAATAGCAAAAGCAAATCATTTTAATACATATTTTCAACACTATATAATCCCTTTTTTCCCTCCAGCGCCCCTATTTAAACTTCTTTTTTTTAATGTTATCTGCTAAAGAAGGAAGCATTCAGAAGTGGTTTTGTTGCTATTAAGTGTCCTTGACTTTCTTTCAACCTTTTAACATCACCCTGGTGGCCACAATCTGGGCAAATATGCTAAAACCAATATGATTGACGCATACTGGTCCATGCTGGCCAACAGAAGCAACAATTTGAATTTATTTCATATCAAGGCAAAAGGCAAACAGCACAGTGTAAAAAAGAGTGAATAAAATGAACAGGTAACTTCAGCATATGGAGGAGAAGAGGGGAAGGAGCAGGCTGAGTGATGGTCTCCTTAACACTTTTGGTATTTTTGGTTGCAGATTACTTCAGACTTCCAAGCAACCCAGAAAATTACCTACCGCATCTCTGGAATAGGAATTGATCAGCCCCCTTTTGGAATCTTTGTTGTTGACAGAAACACTGGAGAAATTAACATAACAGCCATAGTGGATCGTGAGGAAACTCCAAGCTTCCAGGTAAGTTTGTGTCCTCAGTACTGGCCGCCCTTCCCCACGTGCACAGTGACTTTAGAAGGTGATATCCTTCTCCTGATGAACCGAGACAAGAGCTCAGTGCCTGAATCCACCCACCAGCAAATAACAATGTCAGTCCCTCTACAAAGAGCTGCCTCTAATGGTTGTGCCCCTGAAGGAATAGCCCAGAGGGGTGAACTACAGCGTACAGCTTGCCAAGGGCTTCATGCTGCCACGAGACAGCACCAGCAACTTGCCCCACTGGTCTGCCCAGAGTGGGCACTTTTTCGTACTTTGTTTTTCTCTGGGGAAATATTTTTCCCTCTTTGCACAAAAGTACTTACTTCTACAAGTTTTAATAGTGGGCAAAGTAAGGTTGTAGAATGTTAACTAACCATTTCCATCTTTTTCTAGATCACGTGTCATGCTCTCAATGCCGCAGGACAAGATGTAGAGAGACCACTTATACTAACGGTCAAAATTTTAGATATCAATGACAACGCTCCAGTGTTTTCACAGAGTGTGTTCATGGGTGAAATCGAAGAAAACAGTGCTGCGAGTAAGTCTTCTGCAGGACCTACTGACTTCTAATTTTGTTTTTCTTTTCAGATACCAGTATCACTGTATATAGTACATCATTTTTATAAGTTACTTTATTCTCTGAGTTTCATCAGTCGTGCAGAAAAATTCAGCAAGATAATGTGGGTCTCCCTTCCTGATATTTGCAGTTGAGTTACTCATCCATCGCCAGTGTATTTCTAGGCGGTGGTTGTGTTATCAACTGAAAGTCACAAAGCTAAAGAAGTGGCCTCAGGTAGCCTGGATGCATCACCTGGGCGTTTTCAGATTATAAGGAGCAGAGACACACTCACAGTACTTGGATAATTTGGGGGAAAGGGAAAATTATAAGGCCACTGATCGAGGGAAGAAATAAAGACAAAAAAATAGTCTAAATCTCAACACAGCTAAGGCTTAGTGAGAACTGAAGGATTTTTATGGAAGGCTGCACAGTTCACCTGATCGAGAGACACAGTAAGAAATATTGCAAGTGACGTGCATTTCTTTTTAGCATGCACGTATTTAAAGATCTTAAAAGACAAAGATCAATTTGAAATTGTGTTGAATATTTAATGTGAACATAATGTCAATCTTCACACACACTTTAATGAACTTCTTCTGTATTCCTAGACTCACTGGTGATGATACTAAATGCCACAGATGCAGATGAACCAAACCACCTGAACTCTAAAATTGCCTTCAAAATCGTCTCTCAGGAACCCGCGAGCACACCCATGTTCCTCCTAAGCAGACACACGGGGGAAGTCCGTACTCTGACCAGTTCACTCGATCGAGAGGTAAAGCAAGGTGCTTGGGAGCATTCAGTAACTCAGGATTCAGTTGTAAGAAAGCCAAGAGAGGTGATTCTGTTCCCCCTGAGAATGAAAGGAGAAAGGACGAGAGGTCCCCAGGGCCAATCCAAGGGAACTGTTTGCATTCTAGTGGGTTTCTGGTGGGATGGGATGGGTACCTGAGACTTGCACAATCAACTGTACCTAAACAAGCAAGCATCAGCACACCTGTGGGACTTAAAGTGGGGAGAGGAAAAGAAGGCACTGCATACGTGGACAGAGACTGAACTGTGGCTAATTCCTCATAAGAAGGAGGAGAAGGAAATTTCTGTCTGGAGTAAAGCCTTCTCTAATGTCACATTTTTTCTCCTGATTTCTTTTCATTTTACCCCTGTTTCCAGAAGACTAAAGAATCCCCTTCCTCTCGCTTCTCCATTGTCCCACCTCTACAACTACCATCACTGCCACCACATCTCCATCACTGCACGCTACCCCGTCAGACTCTGTATTAACTTTGTACAAATGATTTTCCAAACAGACTGGCAGGGAAGCTCTCTGAGTGACCATCCCTCAGATAAGCCTCCCACCATCCTCATGGTCCATTTTTGCCCTGACTGTCCTTTCCTGTCCTAAGAGGCTCACAAAAGAGAAAACTTGCACTAGCCCCATAAAGACTTCAACCCAGCCATCCCGAGCCCCACACACCTCCTCTATGATGGTCGATGAATGGTGCATGTGATCCTTCCAGAGCATGAACCACGACCTTGAATATCTTCACCTCCTTCCCATAGGAAGCAAGCAGTTGCCATTTGTATTCCAGGCACTAGAGATGAATTCTTTTTATTTTTTCCTCCAAATACAGCAAGTTAGCAGCTATCGTCTGGTTGTGAGTGGTGCAGACAAAGACGGAGAAGGACTATCAACTCAATGTGAATGCAGTATTAAAGTGAAAGATGTGAATGATAATTTCCCAAGGTTCAGAGAATCACAGGTAAGCCTTTCACTCCTTGAAGAATAAATTTACATATAATATATAACTTATTATATATTGTACTTGGCCATCCAAATCTAAGATTTGCCAGCTTGCTGGCTTTTATTTAAGCTCTCTGCACTTTCCTTTAAAAATAAGCTTTTGTAAAATGTAAGAATTCAGGAACCAGCAAGGAAACAATACATAATTTGAGAATTCATGACTAATGCCATTCAGAATAAATATAGCTCCGTTAGATAAAATCTGACATAAGTCTTAAATTCTGCTTTTCTTTTCAAGTATTCAGCACGTATTGAGGAAAATACTTTAAGTTCTGACTTGCTTCGATTTCAAGTAATAGATTTGGATGAAGAGTTCACAGATAACTGGCTTGCAGTGTATTTCTTTACCTCTGGAAATGAAGGCGGTTGGTTTGAAATACAAACTGATCCCAGAACTAACGAAGGCATCCTGAAGGTGGTTAAGGTAAGGTCCGATTTCCCTTCGGTGGGAAAAATATTCTATATTAACCAAAACTATTATTCTTTATTAACAAAACTGTCATAAATAAACTTTATTCACTTACGAATAATAATACCACTTCTTTATAGAAAATTTTAAAAAACACAAACAAGTAGCTAGAACTTTGAAAACACACAGAGCCCTATTGCCTTAGAAAAACTTTCTTAATATGTTGACTTATTTCCTTCCAAGCTATCATATTGTCTATAGAAACACAAACACGCTAATATACATGTATTTATCCATGTGCCTGCTTTAAGCACACGAAGGTAAAACATATTTCCTGACTTAAACTCATTTACTCTCTACAACTGAAGTTAGGAAGAGTCAAGAACACATGGAATTGTGGCCTGTGAACTTCTCAACTTGCTTTGAATGGATTAGTTATGGTCTTCGGGGGGGGGAATGCAACTTTTCCTAGAAAATGGGAATTTATAAGTTATATCTGCAAAATAAAAAAATAAATAATTGAGGAAAACTTCCATTTGACAGGCTTGGCTACAGGAGACCCTCCATCTGAAATAGCATAAGGCTATCTAAGCCTGGGTATTGTATAGACTAGAAAACTATTACCACTATTTCAGGACATTCCTTGACATAGGACATCGGACAACATGGGAGCTTCTTTAATTCCCTGAGTCCAGTAGAATGACAGACCCATAATATTCCCTTGACAAGGAGACTGCTAGAATTCCGGATTTCTGGAAGCCATGTAAGCAGTTCCCATTACTCTGCTTTCAGAGTGGGTTACAGCCATGCTCAGTTGCAAGCATTTTGTAACAAACGCCCAGAGACATTCCCAGTCTTCTGTATTGGTGTCATCCAGTCTCCTAAACTAGAAACCTGGGTCTTACCCTTCAGTTGTGGCATTTCCTCACAACCTAGAGTCAGCCATCAAATTCGGCCCTAGGAATTGTCCTTAAAGTCTGGCCCTGATCTTCCTACTTACGGCCTGTGCTCCACCTGGTCTCATCACCCCCCACCCGCCCCAGGTGACAGCGGGCCCTCCTGACAGACGTCCCTGCCTCCCATGTCTACTTCCCTTCATTCCCCCACTGCCATCAGTCTGCCACGTTTTTCTTAAAACCAACTTGGGCCAGCTACTCTCCTCTTTAAAAACTTTCCTTGTTCTCCACTGGCTGTGACAGCGGCCCTGGGTCGGGACTGCCCTGCAGTGGGAATCCAGGAACTATTCAGTTGGTCCCGGAGGAGGCCAGGCAGTGGTTCTTACAGGCTCCTCCAGGGGCGGTAGTGAGCAGCCAGGGTCGATGACCACCTGCTGGCCTCGGAGAGGACCTTCAGGCCCTCAGAACTGCATCCAAGGCCTCTCACCATCAGCTGCCAGCTCTCTACCACCTTCTGTAAGGCTGGGTAGTTGCAAGCACCTCCTCCCCCTGAAACATGCTGCTCACACGAAAACCTCTCGGAAGTCTCTCCTGAGTTTCTCAAGTTCAAGTCTTCACTTGCTTTCACACATAGACGCCATAATCTCTTTTGTCCCTTACCCTCTGTATTATAATTACCTGTTTCTTTTTTGGGGGGTGGGGTGTAGTTTGGTTTATTTATTTATTTATTTATTTATTTATTTATTTATTTTAATGGAGGTACTGGGGATTGAACCCAGGGCCTCATGCATGCTAAACATGCGCTCTACCACTAAACTATACCCTCCCCTCATGGTTAACTGTTTAAACATCTTTCTCTTCCTCTCCACTAGGAAACACTTGAGTCCACAAAACCAGTCATTGCCAAGTTAAAACACAAATCTAGGTCTCTTACCGTAATTATTTTCGGTTACACACAAATGTAACCAAAGTGAGAATTTCCTTATCTCATCACCCTTAGAAACTGTACTAGTGAATGGAAAAAGCTATCCTGGGACCTGAGGTCTTGAATCGGGCCACCTCAATAAGATGATCAAACAATAGTTATCACCAACACTGTCTGAAATGGTTCTTTGAAGAGTTGGTGGGCCACCCACTCACTGCTTTGCAGAGGCCTACTTGCCAACCAAGTTCATTAAGACAATTTGCCTTTGCCACTTAGGAATTTTTAAAGTCAGGAAAGACATTACTGCACATGAACCCAACGACTATTCTGTGAATGGCCACATAGCTGCCATTTACTGGAATGTATTATGGACTTTAATTTGTTCAGTCCTCACAACAATCTGATGAAGTTAGAGTCTTTTTCTCAGGAGTAAAAAGTTGAGGATCGGAGATATTAAATATTGTGCCCTGAGTCACACAGCTATTAAGTAGCAGATCCAAGATTCAAATCACGCTAGCGTAACAATCTTGGGGTTCATTCCACTGTGCCGCACAGCCTAAAGAAACTGGAAAGGTGTTTTGTTGGTCTGAAAAGAGGTCCTCTGCTTTCTAAGTATCAGTTAGCAAACTAAAGTTTCATGAGTTCAGAACTCTGATTCTCACCACAACATTACAACGACCCGTGAAACCATTTTGCTGTATAGAAATAAAGGATTCATTCATAGCACGTAACATAGAGTTCTCCTGTCCTCTTGCCGGATCATATTTTTGTGACACCTCTTCCCTTCTAATTTTATTTCTACCCTAGGCCCTAGATTACGAGCAACTGCAGAACGTGCAACTTGGTATTGCCGTCAGAAACAAAGCCGTATTTCACAAATCAGTAATCTCCCAATACCGAGTCCAGTCAACCCCACTCACAATTCAAGTAGTAAACGTGAGAGAAGGAATTACATTCCGTCCTGCTTCCAAGACGTTCACTGTCCAAAAAGGCATAAGTATTAGAAAACTGGTCAATTATATCCTGGGAACATATCAGGCCATTGACGAAGACACTAACAAAGCTGCCACATCCGTCAGGTGAGGTCATTTTTTAAATATCGGGTTATTTCTTGATGTAGTTTTAATTTACAAACTATTAAAAAAATAACACCTAAACTATTATATGCCAAGAATACAAAGAGATGCAAAGGTGGCCGACTCAAGGAACCATGTAAATTCGAGAAGCCTCATGGGCTATGAGCGAAGGCAGCAGAATTATAAAGTGGGAAACTAAGAATGTCTTGCCTGTCTAGAAAGATCAGGAAAAAGTTTCCTGGAAACTTTCAACTGAATTTTAAAATGAGTAGAAGCTCACTGGGAGACAGTGGTACAATCAGAACAGCTCATACCTCTGCCTAAAACACATGGGCACCATGCAAAGTAGATGCTCTAATAAAAAGAGCTAGCACACGGTTACCATTACCAAGCAGAGCAGAAAACTGAAAACCCAGGCTAACACATACGGAAGGATTATTAACTACTGCTTGTTCATGCTCATATGTTAATTTTCTGCTTTTTATAAAAGCATGTCTCAATGTCTTACATTAAGTATAAATACATTAAATACGAAACGAGTCATTTTCATTAAATAGGTAACATTCCATATTTCAAAAAAAAAAAGTTTGCTGTTTTCTGTTACAAAACAGATATGCCTTGGGACGTAACGATGGTGGTTTGCTAATTATTGATTCAAAAACTGCTCAAATCAAATTTGCCAAAAACATTGACCGGGATGCTACATTCATTGTCAACAAGACAATCACAGCTGAGGTTCTGGCCATAGATGGTAAGAAAATGATTTCATTTTTGGAGAAATGTTGTACCAACTGGCATTTCTTTATGAATAGATGATTATGATTGTTAACCTATTATCTTTATCACTAGATAAAGTTAATTATCTTAGAGGCCTTGGGTCTCAAGTCTGAGGCAGCTAAATCCAGGAGAAGACCGAGCATTCCAGCTTCTCAGTGGAGTCTGTTGGACCAATGAATTCTGTGTTTGGTCCCTATTGTTGGCGGTGGTTGGGCAGGAATTTCTGGGTTTGAGAGGGTCGATAAAGACTGATACAAAAGTCTGTCAGAGAAGCCCAGCTCAAATGTGAGATGCCTTTGTGAGTTCCTTGTAGAGACCTCATATGCTTACACCACTGAACAACAAAAGTGTTCTGAAATGCTTTTAAAATAATATTTACTGACTGTCTGTGTTTCCCAAAGTGTAAAATTAGTTTATGCTTAAGGCAATAAGCAAACATAAAAATGAAAGAATAAACACCAGAATTTATATTATCTGGGAAAACAGCAAAAAGCGCTAAGGGAAACAGAAATAATTCATAATTCCACCACTGAGAGATTTTTATTTTATTGTTTTTGACTGTCAGCATTTAAATTTTTTCTTCAATAAACTTTAACATCCTGTGTAATAAAAATAAATCATTGTTTATCCCAAATACTTTGGCTCAAGCTTTAGAAGCAAACATTTTTCAGAGTGCTGGGCTCAATGCAGTAAGATACACTTAAGGAAAGTGTGGTTTTATTTTCATTTCATTGGTAATCAGTGAATTCATCCCCTCACAGGCCTTGGTTCCAAGCATATTAAATTAATAGCCAATGCTACTAATTAAAAACATCAGCTAGGTTGGTAAATTTAGATTTGCCTTTAACAAAATGTGGAAATTGGGTGACATCTGTTTACTTGGAGGAATAACAAATACAATTTCTCATGAGTGAACACATTAATTTGGTTGCATGCAAGAGAAATTTAGAAGGTTTATTTATTATTTATTTATTAATTGTACAACTTGTTCTGCGTATTTCTTTAACTCCAAAACATTCTTCTTACAGAAAGCACGGGTAAAACTTCTACAGGCACCGTATATGTTAGAGTACCTGATTTTAATGAAGACTGTCCAAACATTGTCCTGGAAAAGGAAGCCATCTGCAGTGCGTCCCCTTCCGTGGTTGTCTCGGCCAGAGTGCTGGAGCGGGATAAATACTCGGGCCCCTACACGTTCTCCCTGGAGGAGCAGCCTCTCAAACTGCCGGTGGTGTGGGGCATCACAACGCTGAACGGTGAGCAGCCGTAAAGCGGCTTCCACGAATGAAAGCGGCTGCTTTATATTTCCAGAAGGATGAGAAAGCGCTCATTTGGGAGCAGGTCTTTTCCAAAAGTAATTTTAAAATCTCTTTGCCATGAAGATGTAGGCTGAGGCTCATGAATTTCTTCTCTCTTCAGAAAAGGAATGACATGATATAATACTGACTATTTAATATTTTCTGTTTTTCATGTGGACTCTTAAATTTTTAATGTCTTTAAAATTTTATTTCTACCTACACAATACACCAAAAAAAAAAAGATTAGAGTCAGGCATCTATTTTATTATAGAGCTGTTTAGATTTCTAAATATATAAGCTTTTCCTCATTGGGCAGACCGTCAGCAGACGCGAAGCAATGGAGGAGGCAGCCTGCTTGATGCTGTCACTAGTCTGTCACTAGTCAGGAATCTTGAGAGCATGGTGGACTGAAATTCATAAATCCATTAGCCGGGGCAAGAGCTCATCCAGCCTTCCTTTCCTCCTAATCTTTATCATGCTATGTTTACATTTCCTACGTTTTCCAAGAGCCTGATAGCCATTAGACTTAATAAGAATCTTCTCCTCTATGTGTTTGACAGTGACCATCAGGCCATTTCAAATCCTCTGTAAATGAACCCCCTTTTCTCTAGTTCTTTTCTGAACCAGTCTTGCTTCCTTTCATGAACATGCTTGCTCTGTGGCGCCCAGTCATAGGCATCAGCATGCCTAGAGTCACCAAAGGCATCTTGCTCTCTGTGGCTTCCTTTCCTGGGTCCTTACTGATCCTGGTGTCAGGATCTAGCTCCAAGTTGTACATGTAGCATTTGGCTCCAAACGCCTTTACCAGACACATGGCCAATGAAAAGGCTGCAAAAGAAACATCACAGAAAGACAGGACCCGGCACTAGACACACCTGCTTGGGTGAGGCTGGGCGAGGCCACAGTGGTTGGACTGGGTGGATCAGGCACAATGTTAAGCGGCACAGTGGAGTCAAGAATTATTGAAGCAACACAACCCCACATCTTACAAGAGCTGCTGCTGGAGCCCTTAGAAAGGGACAACATCGCAATGGAGAATGATCATTGCTTGTGAGTCAGATAAGCCACAGGCCTGCAGCACAGGGAACCCCACACAACTGACTTGAGGCTCATGGGATGAGCAGCTGACATAGCAGCAGCCAAAGCAGAAGTAGAGATGTCAGTCTTGATCAGTCCGGCGCAAAAACATGGAGCGAGGCTGAAGGGATACATTCAGAGGGCTACACCAGAGTCCAGGGGTTGGTGCAGGCATACAGGAGGCTGGGGAAGCCCCAGAAGAAGGACTGGATTTAAATGATGCCCACTCCTCTCCTCTTTGAGGAGAAAATCAAGGTAGGGGTGAGTTTTCATGGGGGAAGATTATGGCCCTTCTGGGGCAGACAGAAAGGCAAGGAGGAAGTACGCCCCACACGCTCCAGCCCTCCCTCCAAACCGCTCAAGCCTCAGCCCTGCTATCTGTGATGGTGGAGTCTATGGCACCTCTGGCTCTGTTTATAAAAATAAGTCATTTTAAGAGCAAAAGACACCGTGTCCTACCGTTGATTTGTTTGACTGTCCCCCTCAGCTACCTCCGCGCTCCTAAGAGCCCCGCAGCAGGTGTCTCCTGGCGTGTACAGAATCTCCCTCGTGGTCACGGATGGTCAGGGCAGGCAGTGCGAGACACCGGATAGCTTGACTCTGGAAGTCTGTCAGTGTGACAACAGGGACACCTGTAGCAGAACTGTGGCTCCAACCAACGCCCCCCGGATCAGAGGGGATCAGTCGTCCTGGAGGCTGGGGCCTGCCGCCATCGGCCTGCTCCTCCTGGGTCTTCTGATGCTGCTGTGTGAGTATGCCGAAGCCTCGGCCTGTTCCCACTGGGTGTGGGCGTGTGTGGGGCCTTCCCGCTGCACAGGCAATGCCTCTCTGCAATTGTCTTAGAGGCAAAGCTGGGGAAAATCGCATTTTCGGGAAGAATCAGAAATGTTTAAATTTAACACATCACTTGTCAACAATCTGACCATTCAGGTGTTTATTCACCTGACACCACAAACATAGCTTCAGTATGTACAAATAAATGCAAATAATAAAAAAAATGTATTACAGAAAAGGACTCAGAAACTGAACCAACCAGCTTTATCATTCATCAAATAGTGCCTATTTTAAGAAAAAAATATACCTGTCACAAGAATAATTTGATCAAATTGATTGATTCTCCTTCGGTTTCATAATCACATGAAATTTTACTATGCTTAATTTTCTAAATTTTATTTGATACAAACCAATTTTGCTTTCTTAGATGTTTCAGATAGGCATTAGATTTTCCAGAAATAAGCATTGGAAATATCGTATTTTCTTTGTCATAGTTCTAAGAATTGTCACGTCAAGTGATTCAAATGTTCTGATATTTTGTTTTCCTTGATACTAGTGGCCCCTCTTCTGCTGCTGACTTGTGACTGTGGGATGGGTCCTATCAGCGGTGTGACTGGTGGATTTATCCCAGTGCCTGATGGTTCAGAAGGAACAATTCATCGGTGGGGAATCGAAGGAGCCCAACCTGAAGACAAGGTGAGGATTCACTCTGTAAAACACTATTCCAATCATACAGAGCAAATTTTGATTTATATTCAAATGGGAAAAGGGAAAAATGGGCTATAAAAGTAAGAGACCTCTTGACCCTCAAGCGCCCTTGAGATTCAGTGCTGAAATAAATGAAGTCTTTTAGGATTTTAGCTCTTCAGATGTCAAATCATAAGAATGGTTACTCCTGCAAGAATTTGGGCTTGTTCTGATGTCACCATTTGCAAAGGGGCACAGTCTACCAATATCAGTGAAATATGATTAATTTTTAAATGTGTTTATTTTTTGTGCATGGTTTGCAGGAAATCACAAATATTTGTGTGCCACCCATAACTGCCAACGGAGTCGATGTCACGGAAAACTCTGGTAAGTGAACATTGACTTTCTTTTTGAAAACAACAATGAGTTAAATAAGAAATATTGAAAAATAAGAAATGTTCTAAATCTTTTCATAATTTGCATATATGTGCACATGTTGAGAAATGTTACCACTGAAACTGGGCTTCAGTGAGATGGTTTACAGTGAGTATATTAGTCAATTCCATGACCTAGCTCTGGGTCAAGTTCATTTGCCTACTGATGCTCCCGTTTGTACTAACTGAAGATTTGTTGTACTTTTTCCAAACTTTAACAAACTGAAGCATAGCTCTCAGATAGTCAACTATTAATTTTTCAATAAGGAAAGATCTCATACATACAGAAAAATGTAAAGGAAAATATAATAAACACTATGTACTCACTACCCAACTTCAACTATTCTTACCATTGGTACTATCTGCAGTTAAAGCCTCGTGTGTGCACATCCTAAATCTTGTTGCCTTTTTTCCCTCCCCAGATCTACCAGCACCCTGATTTGAGTTCAATTACCAATTCTTATATTCAGCCATAATGGGACAAGAGCGCTTATGTTGTCCCCTAGGTGAAATTACTTACTTCTTTGGTTTATGAAATGACTATTTTAATCATATTATCTCAATGCCACAATTAAGGCTTAAACTAGAGAAATAATAAGACCTAATGTCTAAAATCCATTATAATTACAAAGCAAAAACTATATTCAGAATGCTCTAGAAAAAAAAAAAACAGCTTTCCATGAAAATGTAACCTAAAGGTAACAGGCAGAATAGTCGTAACTCATTAGGCACCAAAATACCAAATTAGCTTCTGCTAATTTGCATGATTACATTATGTATGTTTTCTCTTTGGTTTCCATATTGAGCCAATATGACAGCTTAATTACAATTTATTTTTCCTGAAAACAAGCAGTGCATTAGAAGCTTTCCGTGGCTGTGTGCTGAATATTCTGTTTTTACTTTTCCCTTTCTGGCTGTTGTCACTGAAAATCTATTTCTTTTGTGTATTTTTTAATTAGTAGATAATTTTTAATAGAGCTAGTTCATCCGCTATTAACCCGTTACATCCTCACCTCTTCTATTACTCTCACATAAAACCCTGTGGGATGTTCTTATCACCTCTATTCATATTGTATTTTCTCCCATTTACTTGCTTTACTTGGTGACTGCTCATTGATATCAAAGACCAGCAAAAAACAAAACAAAACAAAAAAAATCACAGCAGGAGATGCTATGAAACTCCCTCCCTGTTTTTTTAGAAGTTTGTACAAATATGTATGCTGGAGGGACAGTGGTAGAAGGAGCTTCGGGAATGGAACTGACCACCATGCTTGGAGCAGCTGCAGGATCTGGAGCCGCTGCGGGACTTGGAGCAGCCGGGGGACTGGGCGTGTATTCTGCCGGACTGTCCGGAACAATGCAAACAAGTCACTCCACCGGAGGAACCAACAAGGACTACGGCGAAGGGGCCGTCAACATGAACTTCCTGGACTCCTACTTCTCCCAGGTAATTTGGTGGAAAACTTTGTGGCTTTGTTATCTTGTTTACCTTAGAGATCTTTCTACTTGACTCCAGTTTTACAGTGCGTGTTTTTTATAGCTTGGTAAAATGCAAGCAAAAAAAATAAGCTCCTTGTTAAAATAATACAGATAACCTAAAGTGGCTGCCAAAATTGGGCTACTGGTCAAAAGAACGTGTTGGTAGACATACAACGAGAGAACGTGGAGAACGTGTCCCTCCAACTGGAGTGACAACGGAAAGCAAAACGTTCTGCATTTCAGATCAGCAGCATCCTCTTGAGGAATGCAAAGCAACTTATTCTGTACTTCCTATACCATGAAGTATGTCAGAACACATCTGCAACATACTTTTCTGGTAGAAGGTTATAGCAGTCTTCATGTGTTTAAGGAGTCCACATCCGAAAAAGTTGAAGAGCCATTGAATTCATGACCCCAAAACAAAAGGGGAAGCAAGGGGTGTGATCTGAGATCAGGAGAAGTGTCAGGAAGCACAGAACTGAGAAGAGACAAGGGTGTGAGTGCTGACTTGGTGTCCGAGCACATGAAGGCTTGACACTGTCTGAGGAGAGACCAGAGAAAGGGCCTGTTTGGAATGAGGATTCTTCCGATACTCCAAGGTACGATGAGGGCCCTACTTACAGTGCAGGCTCTCACAAGGGTCTTACAGAGTCTTAGCAAAGGCCCCCGCATGGGTGAGCGCTGTCTCAGATGGCGCACGGTGGGGTGGCTGCACTCACACTCCACCCAAAGCGGTGCATCAACGTAAGCACACACAGGGACCCTCCCACTTGGCCCAGAGAATAGCCTCCAGGCTTCATCCACATTTGCTCCGTATGCCTAGGTCCATGTAAATTCAAGCCTTGAAAATCCACAGTTAAAACACGAGCACCAGCCAGATTCAATGTTGAAGGAATGTCAATTACATTATTCTCCAAACACAGATAACTTCTGTCACACGACTGCTGATATGAAGAGTTTGCCTTACTTCTGTGGATCACCTAAATCACCCACTCATGATCAAACCTTGAGTTCGACAAATGCTATTGCATTCTTCCACTGAGTATCTTCTAAGAGTCATTTTTTCCCCACTTTTCTCCACCTTCAGAAAGCATTTGCCTGCGCGGAGGACGACGATGGCCAGGAAGCAAATGACTGCTTGCTGATCTATGATAACGAAGGAGCCGGGGCCCCCGGTTCTCCTATCGGCTCCCTGGGTTGTTGCAGTTTTATTGCCGATGAGCTGGATGACAGCTTCTTGGACTCGCTCGGCCCCAAATTTAAAAAGCTTGCAGAGATAAGCCTCGGGGTGGATGACGAAGCCAAAATATCTCACCCAGCCACCAAAGACAGCAGTGCTGGGATTGGATCCTGTGGCCAATCTGCAGAGGTCCAGCAGTCAGAATCTGTTAGGTACCAGGCTGTGTCAGGCAGCCAGGGAGCTTCCGCTTTGTCCGCCTCGGGTTCCAGCCTCCAACCAGCCATTTCCATCCCTGACCCTCTGCAACAAGGTGGTAGCTATTTGGTGACGGAAACTTACTCAGCTTCCGGTTCCCTCATGCAACCCTCCACTGCAGTCTTTGATCCACTTCTCACACAAAATGTAATAGTGACGGAAAGAGTGATTTGTCCCATTTCCAGTGTTCCTGGCAACCTGCACGGTCCAACAGAGCTACAGGCGTCCTGTAATAAGATCTGTACAGAAGATCCCTGCTCCCGTCTGATATGACCAAAATGAACTGGAATAACATACTGGCCAAATTTGGGTATTTGAACCAAATTATTCAAATCTCACAGTATTGGCCTAATTTGGAACTTACTTGCTAATGTAATCTCATGATCACAGTCTAAATTTTCCAGTTCGTGCTGTCACTCGAACTGGAAGTGTTGTCACTCTCACCTCTCAGATACTATTCAAGTCATAGTCAATCACAGTGTTTTTCAAGAAGTCTTAAGATCTCATTCAGTGGGAAAATTCCCTAACAATTTTTAAATTTCCAATGCAATGTGTTTTAGTGGATTAAGTGCTTGGAGGCAAGAGCCCCGGTTCTTGCCTCTCTCATCTTTTCTTACATCATTAGGAATGATAATAAGAGTCATAGGTCTTTGCTAAAGCATTTTGAGCTGCTTCGAAAAAAGGAAACAGTTGTAGTTGAATTTCTGCCATCTTCCTGGTGCTGGGAGACCCTAGGTACGTCTTCTGCTCATGCTAAGGGTGTTGGCTTATGCGTTAAACTTGCTGTATCTATATTCCTCATATTCTCACAGAAGACAGTTTTGAAATAGAAATATCATAGAACAGTTAGGAAAGTTTAGTATGGTGTAAATATTTCGTGGTTTTTTTTTTAAATCACCTTGGAAGGATTTATCTAAAAAAATTTTTTTTTACATTAAGGTCTTTCCTGCACACTTCTCAGTAACAAATCCTGTGTTAATAGTCTTTGAAAATTACTCATTTTTTTAAACGTCAGTGGGTAGATATAGGTTACATAGGACATACAGTGATGTTTATCATGTTAGTGATGTCGACAGACTTCGTGGGAACTCAAAACATGGCTTTTCTCATACGCAAAAGAGGCCTCTGAGTAGAATAACATACAGTGACATTTGTGAATATGTATTATAAGAAGTAACATTTCAGGTCAAAAAGGGACATGGAAAGGGATTATCAGTAACTTCTATTTTAATAAGCCTCATTCCTTTTAAATTAAACAGCTACAGCAATTTAATTCTTGAGCATAACAACGTTAGGTTAGTGAAGGCTTAGAATATAGTATTTCATGCATGTTACCGTGACAGCAATGCAGTTCTTCAAATCATTTCTGGTCATTCAAGATCTCCAGCCTCTAGCCCATAGAGAGCACCCTATCTCTTACCAACATTTTTGTCTTAGCCGAGTCTTTACAAGGTCACTGTCTGGCTCCATTCTCTCTAATTGTATAAAAAATACTCCTTTCTGGGTTTTGCCATATTCAAAACCTACATTTCTTTTTCCAGATGGAATGCAAAGAAATAAAGTGTTTGTGTTTTGATCCAGAAGGGTGCAGTCCTGAGGATTTCTGGGGGAAAAGAGCCGCCCTAAATGTCCTTACATCTAGCATTCTTCTCTCTCCCTGGCGCCGTGACTACCAGGAAGGCATGTGCACAGGCAACCTGTTCTTCTGAGACAAGGCTCTGAGGCATTAAGGCCTGCAGGGTGCCCATCTCGAGGGGAGGGGAGCTAGACCCTCTGGAGCAGCCTCCTGGGGCCTGAAGACATCACCTTGCTGTCACCACTGGGGTCTCTCCTCAACAGAAGCTTGCTCTGGGGTCTAGAACACACAGAGTGGATTTGTGTCTCTGTTTATGTACGAGAATTAACTTAATAATCAAAATAACCCTTATTCCAAGTTCAGAAGCGTTGTCAGGGCCCTCGAAGTATTTTAACATTGCCTCTTAAACTCCAACTTTTCAGGAAATGGGAATTCTGCATTGTCTAACTGCAGAGGAAACCCCACCATGGTAGAAATGTCTAATAGGGGAAAAATTGAAATTAAATATGTTTTAAAATAAAAAGTAGATCAGTTTTGTCTAGGAGGACCTAAAATTGATTTGCTATGTAAAATTAAATTCAAAGCAAAAATGTATCTGTATTTTTTCACTAAAAATAAAAATTGTTTTAAGCAGAAAAACTTTTTAAAAACTGCCTTTTTACTGGATGTATTATAAATTTTAAGCAGTACATATTAAAATTTTAACCATGTAACATTGTTGCAATAAAACTGTTTGGCAACAAACTTATGAGTACTTCCTTAACCATTTAGCGAAAGCCGAACTACTCTCTGCAATTAATAATTATTAAGAAATATGGTGTGAGGAAGCAATTACGTATGTATTTTTATCAGTATTTCACATTTTTTTTTCTATCTGATACATTTTCTGCATCCTCCCAGGCAGGAAGGAAGTACCTGGGGACTCAAGATCTCTTCTTCGGCTGGAAACAGTGCTGGACAAGGTCAGGGCAGACTTTTATTAACTGGATGATTTAACTCATTTATTATTTGTTTGGTAATCTGGAATGGTCTCGCAGGCAAAATCTGTGACATTCTATGAAGACTCAGAGAGAAAAGTTGGAGTTACTAGAAGGTAAGGTTTCTAGCCTAACACAATGGTAAAAATGTACTTTGATGACAGCCATCAGCTCTTGCCGTAGGTATATCTCCCAGTAAATGCCTCTTACTTTTTATGTCTTTCTTTAAAGGGATGTTACAAAATAAGCCCCTTCAGAACTTCAGATCCTGCTTTGGCTGACCTTCTTCCTTCTTAAATGTAGACAATTTGACTTGGACCTGGGGTGGGGAGCAGAAACTGGATTAGAGCGAATGCTGAGTCGAAGAAAAGTGGATGGCTGAACTTGGATGTTCCACATCAATCCCAGGAAAATGAAAGCCATGCAGGTAAATTTCAAAAACATCACCAGTTTCTTCTACTCATAGAAAGTTGAAGGAATAAAAACAGCAAGATCAGCTGATCTTAACTTTCAAAAATAAAGTAAGAATATAAAGGAATACATTCAACTGACTAACTTCAATGCAACTAGCAATTAAGAAACAAGTAAAAGTTAAGGATTTTTCCTTCCTGTTACTGGCAATCCAGCATTTTCTCAACTCCTTTACTGAGTCTGCAAAGAGTAATTCTGAATTAGAGATCATATGATTTAACACTTGCTCAACACACAGTCTGAGATCATTTTTACGTCAGGGGGATAATTAGTGCGAAAAGAAGATAATCATTTAAATTCCAGGCGCCAGAAACAATATGTTCTCCACAAAGAATACTGAGATTCTTCTGCTTTGCCTGATCCAGAGTGCACTGCAGTTCCTCCAGGACAAGACACAGACCACTCCAGGTTGGTGTCTTTGCTTTATTTTTCTTTTAAATATTGACTTTTTTAAAACAAACGCAAAACAAAAAAAAAAACCTAAACACAATGCAGATATAGTTAAAACTCAAGAGAATGATAGTCTAAAAGGACAAGTACAAATGGATATAGTTACTAGAGTAAGAAGAAATAAGACACTGGTGAGGTCTACCAGATGGTGAAAAGAGTTATATTCTAACTTATTTCTTATAGTAGCTCTGAGATTATAGTCAGGAAAACAAAGACACAGAGAAGCAAAGCAACTTCCTCAAAGTTATACAATAAGTGACACAAATGTATAAGTTGATACATTTATTACACTTATTGATTATTCTTGTTTTTTTAATTTGGGGGAACGAGGTAATTAGGTTTATTTATTCTTTTAGAGGAGGTGCTGGGGATTGAACCCAGGGCCTTGGGCATGCTAAGCATGCGCTCTACCACTTGAACTATTCCCTCCCCCCTTATTGATTATTCTTGATGATTATTCTTATTACACTCTCAGCATAATCTGTATATTTTCAGCTCTGAGACTTGAGTAGAATGTGAAAAATTGGAAAGAGTACAAAGAAAATGAAAACTATAAATCTAGATGTAATTTTAAAGATTAAAGATGCAGTATAATGTAGGCACATATGTATACATACAGAGAGAGACAGAAAGAGACGGAACAGAGATCCATGTATCTCTCTACTTAAGACTGTGAGATGGTGATAGAGAGATAGAGAGGTAGAGACAGAGAGAATGCAAATATGTGATGTGTTGCTATTTTGAAGACCATGTGAGTTTATTTTTCAGGGCACAATGAGCAGTTCTCCTCCACATTTAATAACAGAAACAAGCTACCTACAGGTCATGGAATCTCTTTTCCAGTCAACTCCTGAAGAATTACTTTGATAGCCCGCTATTTAGAAAAGGTTATGTGACATGTGTCTAGATATGAAAATAACTTTATACCTTTTTAATTTTTTATTTGACACTTACATATATAGAGAGAGAGAAAAATGATGTCTTACCAGTAAGTCTAGTTAACATCTGTCACCTTACATGCACAAAAAAATTTTTCTCTTGTGATGAGGCCTTTTTAAGATTTACTCCCTTAGCAACTTTCAAATATACAACTCTGTATTATTAACTACAGTGACCCTGCTGTACATTACATCCCCAGGAATTATTTATTTTATAGCTAGAAGTTTGTACTTTTTGACACTCTTCACCTATCTTTCCCACATTCCAACCCTCACCTCTGGCAATCACCAATATGTTCTCTGTAAGTTTGTTTTTTGATTTGTTTTTAAATAATAACTTTAAGTGGGTCCTTCCACCTCAGTGTTTCCATGATTTGTGGGAAACAACACATTTTAACAACTGTAACAACTGTTTTACTGCTTAAAGTCAACTCTATTTCCACCTTTATTCCCATGAAGTACATGGGACCGATGTATTTTTACTTTTATCCCTGGGGACATCTCTGATGTGTTCTGTGTGCTGAATTTGCCATTATTAAATTAGCAAAACAGTTAATCCTGTGTGAAAACAGAACATCATATTATGATGATATAAACAAAGCATTGACACTGAGAGAATAAGTATGTCCACATGTCCTCAGAAAGCAGAGGAAGTATTTATACTCTTTTATAATCAAGACAAGATTGCCAAGAACTTTCTTAATTATAAAGTAGTACAGAATAAGGTAATCTTGGATTCATTTAAATGGCATAATGACATGGTTTCTACTCCTCCAAGGAGGCATTGTTACTAAGCCAACAATGAGTATTTAAACACAAAATGTGAGATTAACTTAGTCATGCCTTCCCATGTCCGACTGACTAATACTGACAATAAGACTTTGATGGTTCTATCTAGGAGGTGAAACACACACACACACACACACACGTACATACATATTTGCCTCCAGTAACCATGTAACAGCTTAGACACACACACACACACACACACACACACACACACACGTACACACATATTTGCCTCCAGTAACTGTGTAACAGCTTAAACATACACACACACATACATCCATATTTGCCTCCAGTAACCGTGTAACCACTTAAATACACACACACACACACACACACATACATATCTGCCTCCAGTAATCACGCACCAGCTCAGTGTAGCTGAAGCAGTGTCTTCCCATCATCAGACGCATGTAGCAGACATTAATGCTTAGTGTTGCTGACACAGTCTCTGTACACAAGGAGTCTGCTCTTTAGATATATTATTAAAAAGAAAAGAATCACCTAGATTTTCCACCTAAATTTCCTTAGGTAAGACACAATGAAGAGGCCTTGTGTGACCAAACTTTTAATTATTCTCATCCAGGGCTGGCACAACTCTTGATTAGTAAAAATATGCGTCATAGGAAATAGGGATATTAGTCAAAGGGTACAGTTTCGGTTGTACCAGATGAGTAAGTCCTAAAGATCTACTGAACAGCATAGAGCCTGCATGTAACAATACTGTGTTGTAGACTTAAAATTTTGCTAAGAGGGTAAGTCTTAAGTTAAGTGTTCTTGTCACGCACAAAAAATAACAGTGATAAACAAGAGGGTGGGAGGAGACTTTTGAAGGTGATAAACAGGTTTATGGTACAAACTGTAGTGAAGGTTTCATAGGCTTATTTATACTCATCTCCAGATTCAGGTTTTATACATTAATTATGCACAACTTTTTGTATGTCAAAAAAAATTTTAATGTGTAATAAGCCCTTAGGCTAACACATTTTGACAATTTTTATTTTTCTGCATCTTCCCTCTTCCTCCCAGCTGTTATATAAATTGCTATGGATTTTTTTCTGAGAAGATATTTGATGACTATAGCAGTTGAAATCTGAGTTGATTTTCTAACTAGCCACTCTTTCTATACACACTTTCTTAGACCCTGGGACTGTCCTCCATGTGCTGGTCTTTGAGTATTCTTTTGAATTACAAACCAACAATAAAGGCATAGGTTGTCAAAATGATAGAAGACCTTCTACTCTATGCAACAAAAACTCTCCCAGGGCGTCCAGGACAGGCCAATGCATGCTATTACCACCTTTGCCAACTCTGGTTGGAGAAGGATGTTTCCACCGAAAACACAAGTCAGGAGATGTCAGTGAATATTCTGATAGGAAACAATGAGTTGTCAGGCAAAGCAAACCTGCTAGTTTGCATTAAAATCACAATTTACTACTGGAGGACCTAAGAGAAAAATTTTAAATTTCATTCCATCTAGTAGTCAATCAAAAACCACTGCATATTATATTTTAGTGACTAGCAAAACATAAACTTGGAATGTTTTTTGTTTTGTTTTGTTTTCCAACTGTATGTTTTAGGTCAATGGTTAAGAATCCAGGCTTTGGAGACAAACTACTTGAGTTCAAACCCCAGCTTCACCACTCACTAGCTGTGTGTCTCCTGCAAGTTACTTAACCTCTTTGCACCTCTCCGGATTATTGTTATGGAAATAGTAACAGTCCCTATCTCATTAGTTTTCTGTTAAGAAGTTACAAAATGCACTTAGGACATAGTAAGTGCTAGTGAAGATTTGAAGTAAAAATAATAATTATTAGTATTTCAATCTTCAAAATGAACTCAAGTAAAATTAAGAGCGCTGACATACAAGGGACTGAAACCGTACAAACTCAAAACATCTATGTTATCTGATCCAAGGTCTTATTTACAGATGCTCAAACGGGCTGAAAAGTAACTTGTTGCTCAAAGACAGAGTTAGGAATTAACTAGGCTAATTCTCTTAGCAACTCCAAACTGCCACTGTAATATTTCTTCTTTTACTAATCTTTTACCTTAACCACAGGGCATGTCCTCTCTGGTCTACTCTGCATTGGAAATTCCTCTAAATACACAAGCAAATGGAGATAAATTCACCCATATCAGATTGTTATCTTGTGGCCAAACTGATGAGAATCATCAGATAATTGCAATTTTTCAGTTGAGCTGCCTTAGAAAAGGGCAGAATTGGAGGCTTTCCTAACTATATCATTTCTACTGAGTAGAACAGGGCAGCCCCGTGGCTTTGGGAGGAAAAAAATAGTTACTTGAAAATTAACTTGAAAGGAATGATGCTACTGACCCAACTTCCAAAAGAATACATGTTAGAGAATGCCGGGAGAATAGTAATTACTGTACGGAGAAAATCCAGTTTACACTTTACATCCAGTTTCTACAGGATTTATGTTGCCAGGTGAAAAGAAGTTTTATTTACAAAAGCTAGTGGACTCAACATAAAACAGAAGGAAGTTAAATTTGTCTTTACCTTTGCATGTTTTATTACCTTATTTCCAGCACATGATATGCTGAAAG